GCTGAGGGAGTGGGCGCTGTCGGAGGGTCAGAGCTGAGGGAGCGCTGTGTAAAAGATCCCAGTGCCACGATTGATAGAAAAATGGGACTGTTGGGGGAAATCCTCTCAGGGCCAACAAATAGAGTTCAGCCAATTATCAACAAGAAAAAGATTGTTTTGATCTTTCATCGAATAGAATTGTAGAGTCCCTGCAGTGCGGTAGCAGGCCATTCGGCCCACCAAGTCCATACTGACCCTCTGAACAGTGTCCCGCCCCTTTGTGGGAGCTGCTGTGCTCAAGTTTCCCCCACCATTCTGCATGGATTAGTGACGGGAGGCCATTCAGCCCTGGAAGAATCATCTATCACACATGATGATCTCGCACCTTCACACCATTTCTCCTCCCTATCTCGATCGCGTAACTCTGTCTTGAATCCTTCGGCCCCCGCGTCCCTCAGAACATGAGGGCTGCAATGCTTCCTCACCATCCCAGTCAATTCATAGAGTAAGGGAAAGAGGCCATTCGGCCCATCGGGTCTGCACCGACCCTCCAGACAGCATCATGTGTAGACCCTCCAAATATTGGACATTGGGAAGAGTCTAGAAAGGATTCCCAGGGGATGGATGAGGGACATTGGTGATGGAGAAGCATAGAAAATAGGTGCAGCATTAGGCCATTCGGCCCTTGGAGACTGCAGTACCATTCTATACGATCATGGCTGATCATGCAATTTCAGTACCCCATTCCAGCTTTCTCTCCCCATACCCCTTGATCCCATTAGCTGCAAGGGCCAGGTCCAGCTCCCTCATGAATATATCTAACAATTTGGCCCCAACAACTTCCTGAGGGAGAGAATTCCATAGTGTTCACAGCTCTCTGAGTGAAGAAATTCTTCCTCATCCCAGCCCTGAATGGCTTACCCCTTATTCTTAGACTGTGACGCCCTGGTTCTGGGCTTCTCCAACATTGGGAACATCCTTCCCACATCTAGCCTGTTCAGTCCCATCAGGATTTTAGAGGTTTCTATGATATTCCCACTCATTCTTCTAAATTCCAGCGAGTACAAGCCCTGTCGATCCAGTCTTTCCTCATAGGTCAGTCCTGCCATCCCGGGAATCAGTCTGGTGAACCTTCGCTGGACTCCCTCAATAGCAAGAGTGTCCTTCCTCAGCCTGGGAGACCAAAATTGCTCACAATACTCAAGGTGCAGCCTCACCAAGGCTCTGTATAACTGCAGCAAGAGGGGTCAGAGACACCAGGAATTTGGCACACTTGCCTTTATGGGTCAGTGCATTGAGTATAGGGAGTTGGGAGGGTCATGTTGCAGCTGTACAGGACATTGGTGAGGCCGCTTTTGTAATACTGCGTTCAATTCTGATCCCCCTGCTACAGGAAGGATGTTTTGAAACTTGAAAGGGTTCAGAAAAGGATGTTGGAGGGTTTGAGCTACAGGGAGAGGCTGGGGCTATTTTTCCTGGAGCGTCGGAGGCTGAGAGGCTGATGTTATAGAGGTTTATAAAATCATGAGGGGCATGGATAGGGTGAATAGACAAGGTAGGGGAGTCCAAAACTAGAGGGGCATAGGTTTAAGGTGAGAGGGGAAAGGGACCTGAGGGGCAACTTTTTCACACAGAGGGTGGTGCGTGTATGGAACGAGCTGCCAGAGGAAGTGGGTGGGGGCTGGTACAATTACAACATTTAAAAGGCATCTGGATGGGGACATGTATAGGAAGGGTTTAGAGGGATAGGGGCCAAATGCTGGCAAATGGGTCTAGATTAATTTAGGATATCTGGGTCAGCACGGACAAGTTGGACCGAAGGGTCTGTTTCTATGCTGCACAGCTCGATGACTGTTTACCCCCAGCCAGCAGAGAAAGGGGAAGGCCTGGAAGAGATTTGATCGAGGGGGCTCAGAACCACAAGGCAATGGGGGCAGTGTCTGGACACAGCAGAGAGGGCGGAGGATTGAAGGGGGACGCAGGTCGCCAACAGAAGAAATGCAGACATGAAGAGAACCATTTATATGAAGTGGGGTGGGTGGGGAAGAGTGCTGCTCGAGGGTGGGATTTCGGCGGCATGGGGGTGCAAGTCACGTCGCAGGGACTGGAGAAGGAATTGGTTCATTCTCTGACCAGGAAGACTCGATGGGCCGATTGGCCTAACATCTGCTCCTACGTCTGACGGAGGGGCAAGGGCCCAGTGCTGGCTCACCAGTCTAAGGGGCCGAATGGCCTCCCTTTTGTGCCTCCATGGCCCAGGGAGGGACAGCAGTGGGGCAAGGGGTGTGTCACAGGGGGCAGCAGATGGCAACTGACCAATTCTCAAGTGAAGGACTGAACGGTATACACAGAGGTAAAAATCCTGCAGAATGCTGGGGACCCCAGAGGCAGTTCAGAAATTAACTTCCTTTTCATTTTCAGATAAATTATAACAGACAGACACTCTGGAAGCTGTGCTCTCTCTCCCTCTAC